ATGCATCATTATGTTGATTGAGCTTGTAATAGATTTCTCCTCTTTTTCTCAAAGCAAATGCATCATTTTGTTCAAATTCCAACAATCTGTTGAGATCATCCAATGCATGGCTGTATTGTCCATTTTCATGATAAATTTCACTTCTTATTCTCAGTGTGACTGTATTATTAGGTTCAATCTCCAGTGATTTGTCAAGATCCTTTGATGCTTCATCATGTTGACCAAGTTTGTAATAGACTTTACCTCTTATTCTCAATGTGATTGCATTATCTGGTTCAACTTTTAATGCTTCATCAAGATCCTCTAGTGCATCATCATACCTCTTTAACATATAATTTACATCTCCCCTTGATCTCAATGCTGCAGCACTGCTTGGGTTAATATTTAGTAATTTGTTTAGATTGTCCAATATACTGTCATAATAATCCTTCTGTTGATGATAAATCTTTCCCTTCTGGCATACACAGTTTAGATTAGTCTCCAATGAATTATCAGAATCAGAAAAGACATGGTTATTGTCATGAAGCACATGACATATTTCTCCAGTTTTAGTCAATGATTCATTAAAGTCAGTGTCAAACTGACCAAGCTCATTATAAAAGTCTTCCTGTAACCTCAAGCCAGTTGTATCATTTGATTCAATACCCAAGAGTCTGCTGAGATTGTTCAATTCATTGTAATATCTCAATCTTTTGTAGACCTCTTCACAAAGTGGCCGCATGTTAGGGTCCTCTTTCCAACATTCTGAATACAGCATGACATATTCTTTGGGTGTTCCAGGAAAAGGAGGATCATAAAAACCTTTTAATCTATATACAACAATGTCTTGAGTTTCAGTCCGTCCTTCACATGGGTTTCTCCCACTAGAGATTTCCCAGAGTAATACTCCAAGACTAAATATGTCTGCTTTCATTCCAAGCCTGTATGACTCATCCTTAAAAGATATTGGATCCGTGTATGCCATATAATCTCTATCATGTGATATGGACAGCATCTGTTTGATCACACTAGATAATCCAAAATCCGTTATTTTTGCGATGCCTGATTTTATAAGAATATTATAGGATGACTAAAAATAATAATATAAAAGTTTGTATAAGAACACAGCCAAATTGATATACTAATACCAACCACAGATGAGCGTATGATACAATACCAAATTTTTGTGGACAATGTCAAGCTTGTGCAAATATCTTAAACCATTAGTTATCTCTAAGCCTAGCTTGTATTTGTCTGCCCATGTTAGATTATCAAAGAAATTCAACAAGTAGCTGCGTAAAGTCCCCCCATCCGCAAACTCGAAAATTATACGATAATCATCGTTTTTATCTGTTTCCGACAAGCAAAAGACAGATTGTTATTCGTCTAATCAGCACAAAGTTATTGTCCGAGATGACGAAAGCATACCTCTACATAGACCTAAAAATCGAATCAAATTGGGATGGTCACCAATCAGCCGATAGTTTTTCAGCTAGTTTTGCGGCGGTGTAATACAGGCTTAATATTTATTAAATCGTTTAGGAAGCGGACGATAGTAGCGTGAGTAACTCGTACAAACCTCTTTAATGAACTGTTTGTGCAAGCCTTCCTTGAGACTATATCCATTCGGAAACAGAGTTTTCACTACGATGGCCATACCAGAAGGTTTTTCCGTTGCTTGATAAACCGTTCCATGTGCACTATAGCTGATCTGTGTAGTGTCCAATATGATGTCGCTCTCTGAGTACAAATCGATTGTCCCCTCTTGAATACTTTCATCAAGCAATTTTTTGTATGTATTAATGGTTGTTTGGTTCTGGGACATGGTGGACAAAATGATGTTAAGAAACCAGCAAGAAACAGCGGCTCTTATAAATTAGGAAGACTTTCCTGTGATTGGCCGATGAAGCATCATGCTAGGATTCGAAACAGGATTGGGTCAGAACAGTAATAAATGGAGCAAATTGATACTAAATGAGAACAATTTCCAACAGTGTTTCACCGAAGGTAACGTCGGGATTCCTTAAAAGTTAATCATAATTGTCAAACAACAACCTTAATGCGTGATTATCTTTGTATAGCCGTTACTATTACTAGTAACAGTAATATCAACCTACTTTGGGATTTAAGTGCAGCATTCGGCATGTGAGGATCTAGTAACTGAAGACGCTGTCCGATTTAAAGATATTTGGCGTTTTCACTGAAAAGCATTGAGTGCTTCCGTAACTGAATATGCAGACGGGTTTCTCGACAAAGAGCAGGGAGAAGAATGTTTCGAATATTAATATTGGCTAACTAAAACGGTTTCATATAATGGTATTGTATGACGGAGACAATCGTTATGTAGAAGGTCACACGTGTGGCATTATAAACCAAACAGAAAGCGTATTTAGTAATTCTATCGATCTGCAAATGGGTAGAAGTTACATCAAATATATATATTAATAATGACGTGTATTACGAAAGGGTGTAATTGTTGTTTGAGTCTAGTACGGCGATTGTAACCTCAAATTTCCTAACCCGATTCAAGGCGATGTTGTTACGCACAAATTCAAATGCAGGTTTTATTTTGGCAATACACAAGCAAAATTAACACTTCTTTTTGACACAGTATAAAATATTATTTATGATAAGAAAACTTTTACTATAAAAACGGTAGCATTCGACGAGCCAGCAAAACTTAAATTTACAAAAGGCATGAACCGCTTTTTATTGATTGCGTTTTTACCAACCCAGCAAAGGAACTATTGTGTTTGAACAATGTCCTCCACAGTATCGATCCCTTTATTATAGAAATACTGGACCATTTTTTCCAGACCTTTCTGTTGTCCGATTACGAACTTACTCGAAATACTTCACTTAAAGCACCGCAATTATCTACCGCGTACTGTATGTCAGTCGGAATTACCGGCAACATAGTCAATTATCATTATTCATTAGTATCTCGGGCATCACTTCGTGTACTTGAAGTTAATATAATGCGGTAATGTCAGCCGTGGTATAACAATATGTGTGCCGCGATTGGTTGAGATCGGCGTCTGCATTTGATATGCATAACTGTGCATTGTTCGGAAATGTTAAGGTAAAGTTCGTAAATCTTACACTTCTCGTTTAACTGTTGCAATGGCAGCCAACTTTTGGGCTTCTACTCATGGGTAAATTTATTTGATGATTGATGATTTAATAGTGTGTTCATTCTCATAACTGAATCTTTGTTCCAACGACCTACCTCACCGAATTCTTAACGTATAGGCAGTATTGGATGTTGGATGAAGCCGCTCTCAGGAAGAGTCGGGAGACCGATCTGAAATATTTAAAGGAGATTGAACTGGCCAAAATAAGGGTGCATTTTGTGTGCTGTGAGTCCCTTTTTACTTTTTGTCCTTCCTTTCTTTGTAGGGTGAAGATGTATATTGTTTTGTTCTGAATTTGACCAGTTGGTTCTTATATTTAGTGATTGCTGCATTGGGACGTCGTTTAAACGTTCGTCAGGTTATTATTGCTACCGCCATAACATATTTCAAAAGATTTTATACAAAGTAAACGAATACTTTGGTTTGTTTTATTTGATCGCTGCCATTGCTGTCATTTACTCTTATCAGCGCTAACTTTACTTATCGTTCTTGTTATTGGTCGATATCTTCTCGTCAATTATCCGTCGTTTGGTCAACAGAAACAGCTATAAAAACACCGATCCATATCTAGTTGCTGCAACTTGCATGTATTTAGCATGTAAAATGGAAGAATTTCCTCAGCACATCAAGTCGGTTATACTAGAAATGAAGAACGTCACCGCAGGTGAGTGTTTACGTACAGAATTCAGCGAATATCGACTTGATCTTTTCCCTGTACAACTCCATTCTAATTTATGTTACCTCGCTACAATGAGAACTTACATCTTCGTTTTTTACTTCTTTCTCCATTCAATCTTTTATCTTTGCTCTCGTTTTTTACTCTTCGACATAGATCAAGGAGGCTTCGGATACGATAACCAAAAAGTAGCCGAGATGGAATTTTACCTCCTCGAAGAGCTTGAATTCAACCTTATTGTCTATCATCCGTACCGCACACTGAAAACTTTAGCCATAGATCTAGGACAAAAGAGCGACGTCATTCAGCGAGCATGGCACATTGTAAACGATTTGTTCAGGACAGACATTTGTCTTGTATATCCGCCATACATGATTGCTATTGCAGCTGTAGGTTTTGTGATCATGATAAAAGAGGCAAGAGCTAATCACAATGGCATAGATACAAGAACAAGAAAAGGGAATGGGAGCGTAGGAGGAGTTGGAAGCGGAAGCAGAAATGAAGGAAGAGGCATTTCCGGGATTAAGGAGTTGAAACAATGGTTTTCTGGATTACAAGTTGACATGGAAAAGGTAAGAATATGTGTTCTACTTTTATTTAGGAGGGGACAATAGGACGATGAGATGACAGGACTAAATAAGGATTCTTGTCATAATATGGGAATCATATTTCTTTTCATTCTTGCAATGGCTGAGATCAGGCTTTTTTTTCTCCTCGTAGGTATTGGAAATAATAAGAAATATCAAAAATCTTTATTCACAATGGCGTGAAGTAAACGAAATCAAGGCACAAGATGTATTGCGAAAATTGAGAGAAGCTCAAAATAAAAGTTGATTGTTCATTGCATACAGTGTATGTTTAGAATTAAAGAGAGAACAATAACTAGATGATAAATTATTGCGAATAGAATAGAACAAAGTGTCTAAGTAAATGGTACAGGCTGATAATCTTTTCTTGTAAATAGACTGAAGTAGCGGAAAACTACTAAATAAAATAAGACGGTGTTTCAAACTTGTTAGGCAACGTTTACGAGATCGTCATTGATAACATTTTACTCGCCGCTATTGTCTTATTCTGCCCATAATCGAAGTATTGAAACTTTAACCATCTGTTTCATCATGTTTCTTGCAAGCCGTAAACTATAACTTGCCGTTGTCATTCAACTCTGATATATATATTACAGTTCATGTTCTCTAATAAACATAAACTTTTTATTTCTTACGATATAACGCACGTCTTGCAACTTTAACAATAAGATTTGTGTCAGGAAACGATAATTCTTCCAGATTATGTGCATATGGAGTTGGGATGTCTGCAAAGATATTAAATACGAAGAGAATTATACCACTTGTTAGGATAATAACTTGGACAAAAAAAATGATAAATTGTTATTGCACGCGCTCAATAAATTATTACGGGAAAAACTCACCAGCCCCAGTTAATCTCTCAACAGGAGCGTCCAAGTAATCGAATGCTTCAGTCTCCATCATTAAAGCAGAAATCTCGGCTCCAAATCCAAAGTGAGGAAAACCAGTCTCGACCGTCACCAAGCGACTGGTCTTCTTCACACTGTTAATGATGGCATCAAGGTCGAGTGGTCTTATACTCCGCATGTTAATAACTTCGACAGAAACGCCGTCTTCCGATTCGAGTTTTTCTGCTGCTTCGACGCAGAAATTAAGAGTCCTCGAGTAAGAAACTATCGTGATGTCTTTGCCTTCGCGAAGAATGTGGGCTTTGTCAATGGGAAGAACAAAATCTGGAGATAGAGATTCAGGAGACATCGGGAAAGTAATGCCGTATTGAAGTTCATTTTCGAGAAAGACAACTGGGTTCGGATCCCTGATTGAAGCCTTTGGTGGTGAAAAGGTATTTGGATTAGCTGCAAAAAAATCCGATCTATATGTACAATTACCAGCTGCATGAATTTCATAATTACCTTTAATAGACCCTTCGCGTCCTCGCTATTCCATGGTGATACCACTTTCAATCCAGGAATGGATCCATACCATGAAGCATAGTCTTGAGAATGTTGAGCAGCCACACCAGCAGCAAACCCATTAGGACCACGGAATACTATTGGACATTGTACAGTTCCACCAGACATGTAATGAATTTTTGCAGCTGAATTGATTACTTGATCTATTGCCTATAATAAAAATCGATGGAAAAAGGCTAAGTATTAATGTGGATATCAAACGTTTGAGTTGAGATGAGCAGATCAAATCCATAATCGATCACCTGCATGGAAAAGTTAAATGTCATAAATTCACATATAGGCCTCAACCCTGACAAAGCGGCTCCAACGGCTAATCCAGCAAACCCAGCTTCAGTAATGGGTGTATCAACCACTCTTTTCGGACCAAATTTATCAAGAAGACCTTTTGATACCTGATAGACACGTAAAATTGCATTAACTGTCGGTCAATTGTGCACGTACTATTTAACATACTATTGTGATAAATACTTTATATGCTCCATTATATTGGCCAACTTCCTCGCCGAGTAAAAAAACTCGTTCATCTCGTACGAATTCTTCTTCCATTGCTACGTTTAATGCATCTCGAACTGACATCTGCTGTTGTACAGAAAGTTAGAAAATCCGTAATATCTGTAAGTTTATCGAATGAAAAAATCTTGGATCGATTGAATTTTAACCGTTGACTATGTTACAGTCACAACATTCAATACCGCTCTTTGTCTAACGACAACTTCTCTATACAATCTTTCGCTCTTTCCTGAGTACACAGACCAACATTTTATCTTTCATTGTATAGCATATCCACGTCGTATCTCTATAAGAGCTACATACTTAAGTACTTACAGTAACATCTGATTGAGTACTCATCCACCTTCGATGACACCAACTGAACGTAGTAGGTAAGGTGCTTTGTTTGGTACTCTGCATGAATATGCTCGACCGAGCCAAGTGCCGTAAGAATGACATGGTTGCAATTATACCAAATGTCTCGAGTGGATAAGCGTATATAGAGTGGAATTTGCAGTATCAAATAATCTTTTAAAGACTTTATGAACTTTTAGATCACATTGATAAAACCGCTAATTTTGCGCGATACAAGTCCAGTTAATTAATATTAATATGAAATGATTATCAGAACCAATTATAGAATTCTAAATTGGACATCACGCAAATTAATTTTTTTTTTTTTTTTTTGGTGTGAAAAAAAAAGATCCCAAATGCGTTTCTATGCTCGTTTGATCCATTCATCAGCAAGAAGAGCATCTTGCCAGATTCCACCACCACAAGTAATCGGATATCATTTGAATTCACATCCATATTTGCAGTCTCTTATAAATCGCAGTGTATTTTTGCGGCTCTCTTACATTTCACGTTCTCGATTTCCTCGCGTTCTTTGTGTCTCTCCAAACCGTTTTCTTTCCGGGTGGACTCATGAAAATGATGATCCCCACGGGCGAAGAAAAATCTACCTCAACTTCCGGAGCGCCATAGCCAAAGGCGATGCTGTTTCTGCAACAAAACATTATGCCGATTTGGCCGCCTACAATTTTGTAATGAAAAGTAGCGACCTCCGTTCCTTGCTAACCCTCAACTGGCGCAAATATGCAATTCATCTTTCTGAACATTTCTATCCTTCTCGCCCTATTCGCACGGCCATCAACGAGCTGATGTCTCAAGATGGTATGTGGGAATCATTTGATCTCCGGCTTTTTGTTGGTCTAGCTGACTACAAGAATGATCCGAAATTGATGTATGACTTGTATAAGGAAATGCGGAAACAGCACATGATGCCCACGAGAGCTGCGATATTTGAAAAGATGTTTAGATGCTTGGAGAGGAATGATTGTTTAGACGAAGCGTTTGAGGTGTTGAAGGATATGACGGCGCGGCAGTTTAACCCGCCACATTACACCGTCGAGAGGGCATTGACAAGATTACTGGAGATTGTTGGTCAAGGCGGTGAAGCATTCCATAAAGCCGTTTGGTCTTACAAGCATGCAAAAGAAGTCAATGTTATCTTCTCATCTACATACTACAAGAAATTCATTCGTACTGTGGCTGCCAGATATCCATTACTAGCAAAGAGGGCGCTTGAGGATATGGTTAGTGATAGGAATGAACCGAGTCAGGGTGACTACGATGAGGTTTTGAACAATCTGGTTAGAAGAAAGTGTAATCCGGAAAGCGTGTCTGTTTATAAGGAGATGAGAGAGAAGAAGATGATGCCATCAAAGAGTTCGTTTACGCACCTTCTCGACGTCGTCGGGAGATTTGGCAATACAGAAGTGTTGAATTTGGTATATAGAGATTTAATGGAAATATACTACAAGAATGAAGTGGATGATGATGGTAAATTGCTGCTGGACGATATCAGAAAGTTGATATTGGATATGGAGAAGAACGAAGAAGATGTCATGAAACATGTTTATGATCATCACAAGCAAGTCAAAAAGTACCCTTTATCTCTCGTTCCTGTTTTCCAGTCTTTGTTTGTTAAAGGAGAAGACAAAAAAGTATATTCTAAACTTGTAAATTTAATAGAAAATGGATATATAATCCATAGCGATTTGTCACATTATATAATAGCACAGTTTGTGTGGAGGGGTCAATTACCTTTCGCCGAGTCTCTTTTACTCTCATTTCCTCGTTTTATCACACCACCTAGATATACTTATTCAATGGTAGCAAACGCCTTTATACAACAAAACAACCATCCAAAAGCGGAAAGGATTCTACACGAGATGATTGGGGCTGGGCATACGATTGACCATTTAATACTATGCGAGATGATTAAGAAATACACTAGAGTGCGAGACACGTCGCCGATCAAGTATTTAATCAAATTACTAGAAGATGCAAGAACCAAGCAAATGGACTATACAAGCGCGTCAGTATTACTAGAAGTATATTCGACACAGGGAGACATAGACAAGGCTAGTGAAATTTGGAATATACTGTATACGAAATACAATGACAGATCATTAAACGCAGCCCTATCGATGATGTTAGACACTATCCGTAGTCATGGAGATCTAAAGTCACTAAAGGAACTCTGGAGTATTGTAGTTCGCGAGAAGAAGATTGTGCTGTCTTCTGCCAACTATCATTCTTATATCAAAACTCTAATCAGATTCAACTTGGTGAACGAAGCAATAGATGCATTGACTATTGACATGTCTTATGAAAGCATTACGCCTGCTATAGGAACAGTTGATAGGGTGTTAAGAGCATTAGATCATCCATCAAGGAGGTCGGTAAAAGTCTGGGAGATGGTGCGAGATAGGTGGCCGAGGATAGAAAGGGAGTGGCAGGCAGCTAAGCATCACAACATGGGTATAGTTGATGTGGAAATGAGAAAGCCACCGAAAAAAGCCGCAGTTTTCAATGAAGATAATGCTAGGAAAAAATACGAGAGTGAAGATTATGTAAGTAGAGACAATGATAAAGATAAATATAAGGATTGGGATAGGGGTAAGGATAGGGATAAGGATAGGGATAAGGATAGAGACAGTGGAGATGGAAATTATATCAGAACATTAAACCGGAGAATGGATAGGCTGTCTGACCGTAATGACGTGAGAAGAAGGGATTCTGAGTGGGAGGACGAAAGCTTAAGAAAGGACGTGGAAGGAACTAGCAGAAGAGATTATGGACATGCAAGAGTAGAAAGGGAGCGAACTGGCAGAAGAAATGATTGGGATGATGATATGCGAGTAAATAAGGATACTGAAAGAAACGAGAGAGGACATTATCGAGAGGAGGATAGACGAATAAGGAAGGATGTAGAGAGAACTGATGACATTCAGCAAATTGCTGATTCCCAAGACATAATATTAGCCGATATTCAAGCTCGTCCAAAAGAAAAAATGCTGTATAGACAGAACCGGCAGAGAATATAATTGATTGGAGGGTTCGTTATCCTAGTTTTGCTTTGTCACATAATAACCTGTATATTAACTGCTGTCGCTCCACCTTTAAAAGTTGATCTTTATTGTTTGTAATAAAAAGAAAGTCTATGAACCTTGGCCGCATTAGAGCTTCATTTCTTCTCCTCTGTGTCCAGCGTAGGGGACAGTAGAATGTTCACAAATGTAAAGATTTCAGGAATATCAACATACCCTAAATTTGATTTGCTGATAATAATAACGACGGACATTTACCGCCCGACAAGCTCATAAGTGTTTCTTAACTGTAATGGGGCAGTAAAGGTAAGGTTGTGTAGGGAAACCAAAAGATAAGATTACCCACTTGGTTGTCATGTCATAAAACCCGCAAGGAAATAGAGAATGGAATTGATCCATAAGCAAGCGTTCCGCTACACTTCCTAAACTAACAACGTTCCATGTATTAAACTTCGAATAAACTACATTCTGCATAGCTATCATGCCCATTATACCATACGCCAGACCCAGAACCTTATAGCGTGAATAAATTACTATACGTTTGCAGCAAGATTCGCTCACGTATATTGATGGCCTCTCCTAAGAAGACTCTAACTCGAGAACGTTAAAACCCGGCAGATAGTCGGTGCTATATTAATATCTGACATTATTGTCGCGACGCTTTAACTAAAAGTGTATTAGGAAATTGATCCGCCAGGTAGGTTATACCAACATCTACAGTATTTGCAATACTAATAGAGAATTTTGTCCCACCGACATTGCATTTATACTTCCTTACTACAAATCACGATCAGAGAAATACAAAACCCATATGTCTCAACAACACACACTTCTTTCAGTAACTGGCCATGCCTCAGCCTCTCCAGCACTCATTATTCCATCTTATTCTCCACCTTTAATCTTCTCCTATCCAACCATTTTCTCCCATATCTACGATTTATCCTCTAATCTCTTCTCCCTCATTCCCCTCCCATCCCAATCACCAATTTCTATAATTCTTCCCAATGGTCTCGAATTCATAGCTTCTTTTTTCGCCGTCACCTTCTCTCGACATATTGCTGCGCCATTAAATCCGGCGTATACAGAAAACGAGTTTAAGTTTTATTTAGAGGATTCAAAATCAAAATTCATTATTGTCCCTAAAGGGTGGTGCAAGGAGGATAAACCAGCCGTTAAAGCTGCGAGAGGGCTTGGCATCGACGTGGTTGAGATCTGGTGGAATGAAGCGGATGGAAAATTCGGGTTTACAATTGACAGAAAGGAAGAAAAACAAGGACAAAAAATCAATGCAAGAGCAGTGAGTAGTAAACTCGAAGAGAGCGACGTTGCTTTGTTGTTGCATACATCAGGGACTACTGGACGACCGAAAGGTATGCAGAACGGATTGAAGGGATTTATCTATTGACGTTTTCTACTACACGCCATGTAATTAATCGATTCCATCTCTACACGTGCCAATTCTATAGCCGTTCCATTGACTCACAGAAACCTGACGAGAACCATGCAAAACATAACTCGTACTTACAACCTGACTCCATCTGACAGAACTCTTCTAGTCATGCCTCTATTCCATGTGCATGGTTTAATGGGAGGATTATTGTCCACTTTGTTGTCGGGTGGGGCAGTTGTTGTTCCGCCGAGATTCTCGGCAACAACATTTTGGAATGATTTTACAAGATTTGGGTGTACTTGGTATACAGCAGGTATGAAAAAAAAGAAAAGGTGACGAGGATGAGACGCGCTCTAGTGATACTTTGGGTTTATTTGACGATGACCTAGTTCCGGTTATGCATATGCTATAGAGTGCTTACATTTTCGCGCGAATGTCTCGTCTCTATACACATAACTTTATCATTCACTTTCCCTTTTCTAACCATCAATTTTTAGTGCCTACGATTCACCAAATCCTCTTACGTCATCCTGTCCCATCTCCGCCACCCAAAATCCGCTTCATTCGTTCCTGCTCATCCTCTCTGGCCCCATCCGTACTTCATTCCCTCGAGTCGACCTTCCAAGCTCCTGTGCTTGAAGCATATGCTATGACCGAGGCTGCACATCAAATGACGTCAAATCCCCTACCTCCCGCAATACATAAGCCAGGATCGGTTGGAATAGGACAAGGTGTCGAGATCGTCATATTAGATGAAAAGGGAAATGAAGTGCAAGAAGGAGAAGTATGTGTAATAGGGGAGAATATTACTCGGGGATATTTGAATAATCCAAAGGCGAACGCGGAAGCATTTACAAAGGCCGGATATTTCCGCACAGGGGATCAAGGTTACCTCGACTCTGATGGATATTTACATCTGACTGGACGGATAAAAGAGTTCATAAATCGTGGTGGAGAAAAGATTTCACCTCTCGAGATTGACGCAGCCCTTCTTTCGCATCCGGATATAGTTGAGGCCGTATCTTTTGCAGTACCAGATGAGATTTATGGTCAGGAAGTCTGGGCAGCCGTTGTGGTAAATAATGGTAAAGGGCAAGTTAGCGAAGATGACGTGAAGAATTTCGTTAAAACGAAGATTTCGGCGTATAAAGTTCCAAAAAAAGTAGTGTTTACAGATGTAATGCCTAAAACGGCAACTGGGAAGGTCCAAAGGAGATTGGTTCGAGACAAGTTTTTTACAAAGGACAAGGCAAAATTGTGAATTGGGAAGCGCTGATATTATACTTCATATCGGCTTCAGAATTTCGCTTGTATTTTCATTATCAATTAATGTGAATGAACGAATAGTCAACGGCATCATTTATCATCCTCGACTACGAGCATATTACAGAAGGAAGCATCAATTTTTTGAGCCGATTCACCATTCCACAGTCGAGACGTAATGTTTCCATAGCGAACTATTTCTAACAATTCATAGAATTACATGTCTTTTTCTTGACGATGGGATGTTGTCAAAAAAAGCGAATAAAATACTGGCCAAATAGGCGATAAATATATGGGTGGTACATGATTTGGGTAAAAGAGAAAACAATGGAGAATCAGCAGTGAAATCTATATGGTTTCATACTTTTGCAAAGCAAGTAAATCAGCGATTTGGATAACATGGTGTAGACTCGTTAAATTAGATTCGTTAAAATTATAACTGAAAACGAATCAGTATTCATAAGAAAAATTTTTATTACTTTTGCGATTATATGGAAATTTGCGAAGGAAATTACAATAGTGTCAGTTTTTTGAGTACAATATGTATATATTAATATGCGATCATATATCAATATGGAGATTGAGATTGTTTTAAATTCAGTAGTGAGTGATATAGTAATCGCGATTATAGCGATAAACCCAGAGCGATTGCATGGGAGGAAATACTCGGACAAAGCCACGTGTAATGTAAACAACAATAAATAAATTCACACGAAAATTTTTTGTGCACATCTCTGAAAAATGGCAAAGACCAATTTCGAAGACTTTCTTCAATTTCTGGAAGACAACGATCTTGCGGTGGTAAAGGAAAATATAAGTACCAAGACTTGGGAATACATCATTGGGCTGGATGCTGTAGAAGTGTGGGAACAACTCGGTGCATCACCCATAGATGCAAGAAGCATCACCAGCTTCATAAAGAGACGGTCTCAAGGTAATGACTTTGTGACTTGGGCATTGGGGATATAGGGTAGTGTATACATAGGGTAGAGCAAACATAGGGTACATAGTGATTATTGGGAAGACGTTATTATAGCTAGCATCTATAGTTGTGAAGTAAATACCATGATTGCACAAATCCACGCGTAACAGAACTATGCAAAATCGCTTCTATTTATATTCCATCCCTATGGTCGTGGGCACTAACTAACTCGTTATTATTTTTTCCCCCTTCATTCCCAAACAGCATCTCTCAATGTGCAGAAAAAGCGGAAATACGAGGGACAAAGTAAGGCCTTACTTACTGATGCTTCTAAAATCTTCAGTGTCTAAAACTTTTCTGCCCATGTAGCATCAGGCACGTGGAAAAAGAAATGGACTGTCAATGGGACTATTAGGACAGAAGAAACAAATTTAGTCTACTTTGTCAATCCGTCAGAAAATGAGGAAAATAAGACATTCCTGACTAATATTAGGCATGGCGGGTTATTGATGCTAATGGGTGCACGAGCATCCGGGAAGTCGACAAGAACGTTAAGGCTCGCAGCAGAGCTAAACGAAGAAGGCTATTGCTGTATATGGTAAGGTTAATACTATAGTCAATTATGTCAGCCACTGAGCTCATGCTATGCTCCTTGTTACCCTCTCCTATTCCTAAAACCAGCACTAGTTTGGAAGAGGTGAATGCCGTCCATGACGGAGAGGCCTTTTGGAAAACTCTAGGTGCTGCCCTTCAGCGCCAATGCCAAAGACCCTTTTTGCGAAAGATTCATTCTTCCAGTGATTTCCTTGATGTTTTTGCTCGAAAGGAATGGAAAAATGATGTCGTCATTTTCATAGATGAATTTGACAAGCTATATTCTGCAAGCGACAGTGTCCGTGATGAATGTCTCGAAACTTTTCGAAGCGTCAGGAATAATCGCTCTGCTTATGCAATTTTGACAATAGTTGCGATCGGAACTATCAGCATCCGCTGCTTGACCCCATCCAACCGACGTTTATCACCTTTTAATGTTGCAGAGTCGCTCAACAACCCGTATTTTACTGAGCAACAAGTGCAGTACCTTTTCGACGAATTCGCGCAGAATGAACAAATTCGGATAGATAATTCCATGGTAGATGATATATTTGCATTGTCTAACGGGTATGGTCTGAGATCTCTAATTTGCCATGTTTGAATCGAAATCTTATTATCACGTCTTGCATTCTGCTTTTGACAGGCACCCGGGCATGGTTTGCCTTTGCGGGCGTTCCATTATGGAAAATCTTCTGAGGGAGGTTGATGAAAACGGAACACTCCACTTTGAAACCTGGACAGACTTTGTTACTACTTCTCTAGATCAGCAGATAGTTAACTATACCACGTTTCGAAGAATGATAGAAACTCTTCGGAATGATGTAGCAAAGGACGCCCTGGATCTTCTCCGAGCTCGCTTTGTAGGTTTTCTGGATTATGTCACTATCTATGATGAGGAGGAACAGCATCAAGCTGATTTTTTGGCAGCGGAGGGAGTGCTTTTGAAACCGAAAGTGAATGAAAATCGCTACAGAATGGCGTCAGCTTTGATAGACTCACTGATACGACGACGCGTTATTCCAGCAAGGTACCCGTTCGCCCCTTCTAGCCCAGTTCCAAATCGTCCGACTCTGACAATGGACACTCTTGCAGTCTTGAAGGAGGCCTTAGCATTCTTTGACAAAGAGCTCATTTGCTATGCATCCGAGCAGTCATACAAAATGGCACCTGTGATCGTTGAAGGTCAAAAAAATGTGCGCGTTCCACGAGAGAGCGTTTATGAGTCAGAGCTGAACAGAATCTTGACAAACTGGATTTGTAAGCAAGGAAAATACATGGTATCTGAACAATGGCATCTTACACGGCACAGCAACACACGCACGCGTCACATGTACAGTGACATAGTCATCACGAAAACTGGGAGTCCAACAATCGTCCTCGAGCTCGTGGCAACAGCAAAAGTTGCACAACTTGAAGAGCACATTGAACGAGCACTTATCTACAAAGCATTACATTCTGGAGCAGAGACTTGGCTCATTCATTTTACGCGTGGTGATGATGTTGTTGAAAACCCATACTGGCCCGAAAAGTTGGAGAATGGCTTTGGTATTGTACATTTTTGGCATGATGTGAATTTCAATACTGTGAAAATGAGTGTCCGTTTTAAGGATGAGGACAACATACAACAGATTGATAAGCAGCTTGTGACCATTTAAACTGCAAGGGTTTTGAATTGTCTCTGTACCTCCTTGAGTTTAATATGTTCTTTACACTAAAAATGAATAGAAGATGAAACCTTTACAAATGGGAATCATATAATAATAAGCTAATAATGGTAGAAAATAGTCAGGTGCAATGAATGATTATCTGATGTGCTTTATTATTATTATTATATGTAAACAAAAACATGGTTTACAATTCTGATGGACTTAGTGAAGGGTCTTACCTGGTGATACCATCCATATATGGTAAATCAGTATTTCATATAACCATTTTGGGACTACTTGTGTAATCAATATATGTATGATACAATCTCTACTATTTACAATAAAAATTCATCTTGCTAGTAGGGAATATATTAGGGGTTTTACAAGCTATCTCCCAATACCCATCACTAAATGACAACGAAATTGTGTTTGTATCATCATTTATAGCAAAAACGCGTTTGAAGATTATTAAGTGTGTTTAATTTCTCTTTGCCCTTTGATAAAATTTGAAAATGACTATCAGATAGAAGTGATCATTTGTTGTACTGCAAAATTACGTGTTCATTTGGTTTGAACTTTATTTCAGCTAATTCCATCATTCAGAAGGGTACCAAAAATTTTCGGGTACCAAAATTTTTTAGTGATTTAGAGGCTAACTCCAAATACTATTGCTCAAAATGATGACGAAACTGTGTTTGTTTCGTCATTAACTTTATTTCAGGTAATTCAGCCATTCAGAAGGGTACCAAAAAGTTTTAGCAAATTAAAGGCTAACTCCCAGTCCCGCAAAAGTTTCGTTTTTGATATATCAGGAGTTCTGTTTTTGATAGATCGGCAAGTATAAGTACCCCAAATTTAGGTCCCGTTTTTGATATATCCGCAGTAAAGTCACGTTTTCACTGATACCCAGCATTTTTTGATAGTCATCTGTTCGAATAAACCATCTTTTTGCCTAATTTGTTTAATTTCGTACAATATTATTTTGACATTACACAAGACGGTAAAATTTCGTAGAATTTGACTTTATCGTGTCTCGTATTACGAATTAGTGATTATATATTACAACATAGTGATAGTTTTCGTACGCGTCTTTCCTCTGAAGGCTTTCGTTCGATTGAAGATTACTTCATCGAGACTTCAAAATCCACATATCTGGCAGAAACTGCCATATTTATATTCTGCAAAGAAGCTTGCAGAAAAGTATTAATGACACTCGGATACTCGGCTTCGAAAAAATAATCTCGGTCAATATTTAGCGGTTTTGTCCATATTAATATAATAATTGATAAATTTCGATAGCATCGCTCATGTTGCTAGTTAATGAATAAATCATTATTAAATATACTGGGTTACATTTAATCGAACACTGCTGTATTTCGGGATGGTTTGCAAAAGAAAGAGGACCGTGGGTTATCATAAATGATCTATGGTTATATGTCTGACATGGATTGATTGAATATACGTGGGGTGATCGAAAAGTCTTGCGCGTCTAAATTTATTCCGACTAATCCAATAAATAACCTACAAAACTATTATGACATTCCTTCAAAGTACTCTCCCTCTACCTCTATACATTTT